TAAAACGATAGTGAGGCCAAAACAGTATGTGCCTTCCATTTCATGGAGCACATGCAACGCAGTACGGATATAGCGACGGAAATCCGACGTCGGCGACACATCCAAAAAATTGACGGCAACTGGCCCGAAAATCTAAAGATATATTTGAATAAAAGGGAAGATTAAAGTACTTCACACGTAGTTCTGGAGCGACGCCACCAGCTACATTCCATAAAATACTGGATGAAACCGATTTCCTGGGTAGGTGGATAAGACGTATTTTGAGACACACGGTATCGGTAAGGCTACGCATGCCGTGCACTTTTGCACTTGGCGTAATTTGTAAACTTATATTTGTTTGTCTTCATTCTCAAATCTCCATGAATTCCATACTTAATATACACTCACGATAATTTCGCTGAATACAAGCATCCCGAATGCACCTAACTATTCACCTATCTATCTAATCAGAGACAGCAAAAAACGATACGATGTAGTGGGCTGTAGCGCACATTTCCTTGTTCCCTCAACCAACATCACTTAATTTGTCTAGTATCCCGTGTTCACTAGATCGCACAACTCACCTGCACCGCAGCACAAGAATCACGTGGCAAACCATGTCCCGCTAGCAAAATTGAGCGACAACAAATCAGTTCCCGCCTTGTACGCATCGTAACGATTGCACTTATTATATAAACCTTCCACATCCTTGAAGACAACACAGTGACCACACACATTACCGCGTATTGTACCTATGTTCACCAGACATACACCTGATTATTGTTTTCATCGTCATTCTGGCAAAACAGATATTTGTTCGTGATTGTCACTTTTTGTTGATCAATTTAATTGAGTTACAACTTCAGCACTATTACATCTCAATGCTCAAACTTACTTGATAGGAAACGCCTTGCATAGAACACGTTAGCTGGTGCCTTTTAACAAACGCGGGAGCATATTACGGTTTAAGCAGACAGGATTGTTTTCTAGTGCCTCATGTTCAAAATAGTCGTACAAGGGGCTCCGCGGCCTTCGTAAGGACCAGGTGAGTCGTACACAGCGAACTGAATGCTATCCTGAAGCTACGGAATCAGCTTATGCATGTCACCTACATCAGGACGTGATCGAAGTGCCCAAAATTTGCGATGATCTAGAAGTCCACTGCAAACTCATTACACGCGATTTGTGTGGATGCGCTTCATATCGAAGAACAATTTGAGTGGGGCATTTTAGGGTGTTGCTGGGACAGATGTTTATCACAAAAAAGATTGCAGGTCCACATTTAACTCATTTTAAGTAAAAGGCTTGTAAGACTGCTAGTTATGCAAAACTTCTATTCACACATGCATTGTGTGCATTTTTGTTAAATATAGATGGAATTTTCTAAATCGTTCCTCGTTCCGGCACGCATTATCCACTATATAAGCTTGCAGTATAAAAGGAGAACGAATGAGATCATCCGAAAACCCACTGTAAACGTCTTCTTGCAGAAAATAAAGGCAGGAGAAGCACCTGGGCAGCTAAATACTGAAGGAATAATTATACTGTTCGGCATAGCATTTTTGAAACGCAGTGGTGCGTCCAGTCAAACCTAAATGACCAAGCAAACACCGTGGACCAAT